TCCATTTATGAAATCCCTGACAAGTAAAAAAGCTATACCTCTGTAGAACGGGCCTGAATCCTACAACTCCTGCCATCTTATGCAATTTCACTATTCACTGCCTTTCAGGGAAAAGCAACCACTTGCAGGGTCACTGGAGGACAAAATTCCTGGGGCCCAAGTCAGCTGGGGGCCCCCCCTGAAGCCAGCCTCATGCTGCAGTCAGGGAATGTATATGCAGTTCCCCACTGTAGCCACTAGGGGCACAGGGAAGGCAGAGTACAATAAACAGCAATTTCTCTGCTTTCTGCTTACGGAGCCTTTCTGCAAAGTTTACTATAAAGAGGCAAACACATTGTTAACAGTCAGACCCTTCTCTTGGTTCGGGGTAATTTACACTTAGAGAGAAATAAATTACCTTTCCTTAATATCACCCCAAAATCATATGTGCAGGGCACTGCTGGGCCTAAGAATGAAATCAAAATGGATCTGGTACAAACAAAATGGATGCTGGCCAAGTAAGAGCCTGGGAAAGTATTTTGGCAGGTGTATTACAGAAGCTGACCAGCGGACAATCCTCCTCCCCACTCCAAAAGAAATGCATACTTTAAAACAATGAGTCTCCCAAGGAAACATCACCTCACCTGGGATTAACCTCATCCATACCTGGATTATGCTTCCCCTTGCCTATTTATCCTAAATTATGCAATACTTAACAACCTGATATGGAGCTGTGGTGGCTCAAGTGGTTAAGATGCTGAACTGCAGGCTGTGGAAGGTCGGTAGTTCAGCAGTTCGAGACCCAGGTGCCGCATGATGGAGTGAGTTCCCATCTCTAGTTCCAGCTCCTGCCAACCTAGCAGTTCGAAAGCAAGAAATTGCAAGTAGATAAATAGGTACCACTTCGGTGGGAAGGTAACAGCGTTCCGTGCACCTTGGTGTTTAGTCATGCCAGCCACATGACCACGGAAACGTCTTCGGACAGCGCTGGCTCTTCGGCTTTGAAACGGAGATGAGCACCGCAACCCTAGAGTCGGACTCGACTGGCTTTCGAGTAAGGGAACCTTTACCTTTAACAACCTGATAGTTTCTCCCATTCTGTACTTGAAAGCCATCAAGAAATGCTCACAACAACATGCCAAACCCCAGCAATCTTTGATTGTCCCTGGAAAGGGCAATCAAGCTATTGTTTTGGAGCAATCATAGGGTGGTCACATAAGCATAGCCCCAGGAAACATTTTCCCTATAAATAGAACCACTCCGCTTCATTTGTGTGTGTGTGTTCTTGGCATCTACATCACACCTCACTTACATGTGGGCTCTTTCCATGAAACACTGGCCTTTTTGCAGTCTCCGCAGACCCCAAGCTTCTAAATATCACCTAAACTCGATCTCCTCGCTCTTCCCTTTATTTTCTCTTAGCTAGTTTCTGTGTGTTAAGCAGGGCTATTTTTGGGCAGGAACGCACAGGAACGGAGTTCCGGCTGGCTTTAGAGTTGGCCACGCCCACTACAGCTAAAACCTCTGTGTGCCTGGCTACAGAGGGAAGGGCTGGAGAGCAACCCCCCCAGTGACTCTGAAGCAGGGGAGCCAGGGGCCCCCTGGAAGGATCGGGGAGGCATTTAAGGGCCGGCTTGCCAGGCATCACACAGCCATGGGGCACCTGGGCAAGTCAAGGGAAGACATGGGGTGTGGCCTAATAAGCTAATGAAGTGTGCTGTTGGGGGTGTGGCCTATTATGCTAATTCTACAAAAAGAGCCCTGGTTTTAAGCATGTTTTTGTATGTTCTTGCCTGTTATTATTTTTCAATAATACTACTTCCAGTTGAGCATTTGACTGATTTATTCTGAGAGTTCTCTAAGGGAATAATCCTGGTATACATTGATGAAGATCCTAAATTACTCCCTTTCACTTGTCTTCTTTAAGCTAATTTTCCCCACCAATAAAGAGGCAGCCAATTTGGGTAACAGCATATCAACCAAGCCAGCAACAGAGCAAGACAAGACCAGACAGCACAGCTCTTTCTGCTACTGTCATTGTCAGGCTGCAGCTTCGTAAACAAAGTTGTTGTTTCTAGCAGTCTGTTTCCCTCTGCCTTTTCTTCCACCTAATTGCATAGTTCTGTCTGCTCAGCCAGATCTTTACTATTAGTGTGTAGAAGAAAATAAAATAATAATTCCTCTTTTCTTAACCTGTCTTCCTCTATCCCACACTTTTCTCCATTTTGCTCTTTCTTTCTTGATAGGCCTTCATTCCTGTCACCTCCTTTCTATCCTCCCCCCTCCTTATTTCTCAGTCTTGGTCTCAACTCCTCATCCCTATCTTGGCTAGCATTTAAAAGTATTTAATAGGAGATAGCAGCAAACACTTGTTAACATTATAAATAAAATATGTGTGGGGGGGTGGAGTTATGCAAGACTGTACACATATGCTTATGATTGTCTGACTTTATGTGCCTATTTGATTTTCTGACATGAGTAAATTATTACAGTGTTGTGAAACCAAGAAACTGTCTAGACAACAAAGGAAACTCAATTACTATTGAAAAGAACAAAGGGCACATTTTAATTATGACATTTCATGACTCAGTTATGACCCAAGACAGTTTGTAATATAATGAAAATAAAATGCAAAGATAGCAAGCACTTGAAAAATTTTAATATAAAAATGAAAGTGAAACTGTTCAAGTAACATTCACCCTTAAATTTAGAGAGCTGATGTATGCATGAAAAGTGGATAATTTTTGGTCCAATGCTTGTCATTTACAAATATGTTCCCACCCCAGTCATGAAGGCATACCAAAAGAAGCCACTTTTGCTATCAAATGTTACTTACAAATAAAAATTGGCTGCAATCTAGAGATGTGTACTTTCAGCATACTCTTAAGGACTTGCATGCATGCAGTGGAACAGATAGCACACTGAATTGATAAACTTTTTCCCCCTTGGAAAAGACCCCCCACACACATACACACACACACCATTCCCAAAACCACAGATTGCTTCTGAATCTTTCCTGAGCTCTGAGAAACTAAATAAGACCCATAGACTCTCTTCAGTTGTATCTGTGTTTAGAGCCTTAGGTGATTTTCTCAATCTATACTTTAATGGCTGATCCAGAGTGGCTTTTGTCTTTTTAAATTCTCTATTTTTATTATCATAATTTGAGCCACTCTTATCATCCTGAGCCATGGACTAATACATGCTCTGTTGTGCACAAAGAAAGTACAGCTTGAGCAAAATTAAGAAGAAAACCTCAGCAGACAAGGGAACCCTGTGTCTGCACTGAAGAATCTGTATCCACAACAAATCCCTGTTTAAAGTCTTTGGTGCCAGTCCAAATTAATGGGACTATGGTTAGTCACAATTTTCTCTGGACTTTCTCTTGCATCTTACTTTGAGACACTAGCACACAGTGTAAACTTAATTTGGATGGTCCTGTTTAAAGCTAGCTGCAAGAAGCATAATTTGGATGATTCAGTTTAGTGTTCTCCACTAGAAACTTCTCACTCACCTACTGACTGTGATGACACACCAGCGTCTATACTTAAAATGTTGCACTTGAAAAGCTAGTGTTGTGTCAGTTCTTGCTAGAGACCAATTCTGTGTGATGCAAAGAATTCAAAGGAAGCTAATCCTCAAAGTGAAAGCCTACTGATGTTGTCAAATAGATCTTCCTATTGCCAATGCCACAAATCAGGCAGTATTAACAGCAGGCTGGAAGTCCATGTATTTGTACCTCCAACATTTTTGTTCTTCCCATGTTTCAGTGCATGCTAGGATGTGGCAAGGGCTTGTTGGATTCGAGTTGGATTTGAGTCGTCTTTTAGCACACAGAAAATTCATTTTAAAAATGTCAAGGGCAAAAGGTGCCCAAATAGGAGCTACCATAAATTTAGGCCAAACTAACACAGAGTTTGTATAACTGCTTTGACAAGGAGACTGCAGTTCTTGAGCAGAAACTATGGTGATCAATAGGTATTATTTTGACAAGGTACTGGAATTCCAAATGACAAATGAGACTAAACCAGATAAAATATCCTATCAATGCAACAACTTTAAAATTTAGTACTTGTTTAGTTTTACATCTTTTCCCATTTAGCTTCGTCTCAAGACATATTGCTGGACTACAGTGTGCAATCCCTGCAGGCAAGAATAGCTGCATATGGCTCCCCATTGGGAGTATGCTAAATTGCAAGCCTAATCTAGTACAGCCATTTAAATGACACATTGGGAAGGCAGAAAAAATGCTTCTGTCTTTAAGAACATTCCCTTTCCCCATACGTTTCGTCATTAAGGCCACAGAACTATTCATCTGCTTAAAGTTCTGGGTTACAGGATGTCAACAGATAACACAGCATGCTACAGATTTTTAACCCTTGTTGTACAATTACTCTCATAAACAACAATACAATAACATAGGTAATGTGATTCCTTGGAGAGTGAAATACTATCTATAGCTTAAAAATATAAATTTTGACAAATGTATGCAATGTAGCTTGACTTGACAAAATACCTGGACGTCCCATCTAGAGCTAAGGAAGGTTTTGTTGTACTTCTAATTTTAGAATCTACTTGCCAACAAACTCTGGCTTAGGCCCCATGAAAAGATCTCTGTAACTTGTAGTCAAGGCACCAGATCTGAAGTTAAATTTGTATGAGGGAAGGTTTCGGCTTTTTAACTTACTGCTATATACTAACCAGACAGTACTACAAGATTTGGATTTTCTTTTAAGTGGGAGTCCAGGCCTCATCTCCAGCGGCAAACACATTTCAACACAAGCTTGGTTTTCTGGACTGAAGTGTTCACAGCTTAACATTTATTTAACTATGTTAAAGAACTGTAGGGCATATCCACTGGAGTTCACAGCACTAGATGTAATATATATCTGAATTTCTGACAATACACACAACGTTCATCAAGACTGACCAAATGTTTACCATCTTCAGTGTTTAAGTTAGAACACAGTTGCCAGAATCAACTTCAGGAATGTTACAAAGAAGGAAGAACCCAAAAGAACTGTAGGGCATATCCACTGGAGTTCACAGCACTAGATGTAATATATATCTGAATTTCTGACAATACACACAACGTTCATCAAGACTGACCAAATGTTTACCATCTTCAGTGTTTAAGTTAGAACACAGTTGCCAGAATCAACTTCAGGTATGTTACAAAAAAGGAAGAACCCACCACCACCACCATTTACCCCACTGTGTGTCCACTGTCTTAATTCACCTCTTTAGTGTCAAGCAAAATATGGATGGTGTATATTGGCTTGTATCACAGTGATCCACTAGGGGAAGCTGTTGTATGCTGAACATCAAGGACTTCATTCACCCAAACAATGTGCTCGCTGAATCCTCAGTTTTTTCTACGGCTCTGACTCCTATTTAAGAAAGAAAGTAAAGAATAATTGTGTAGCTCTTTATTTCACTTATACAGCACATCTGATGAGCTTGTCTATGGCTCAGTTCTTTGAGTTCATGAATTGATGTTAGTACATGATTTCTAAATAAAAGGGACTGCCATTTCTAATTATAAGTGCTCTGTATGAAATAAAATAGGTTATTTATCAAAGCTAACAAATAAGTGGGGGAAAATACAGAAATCTTTGATGGGAGGGATGCAGTTAACAATGCCAGCCTAAGCAATGTTATATCCTCCTAAGTCCACTCATGTCTCTGCTTAAGATGGCCATATAACTGTCAAAGCTAAGGCACATTCTCTGTCCACTTCTGTCTCACTCACACATGCCCTGGTCTAAAGCAAAATGTAGTTCCATATACTGCTTGTCACAATGCAAGCAGAGATCCAGCTGTACCAGTCTGTTCCCTTCAGTTAAGAGAATGAGACAGTTGGGAGCAGTGCACTTTGTGTCATATTTGCATCAGAGGTCTTGCACATGTAAGAAACTGGTGGAGTGGAGCATGTGTGTTTTTATTTGTTGAGCTTTGGCAGATGGTAGGGTGGAATCACCTGCCCCTTCAGCTCTCGAGGAAGTTCTGGCGCTTGCACTTGATTTGGGGAGGGTTGGACTGAAATAAAACAATTTCCACAGCTCTCTGAGAGTCCAACTATTTCAACAATGCCATCCTAAGAAGGCCTGCTCAGTTCTATTCAGTGGGACTCAGGCCGAGAAAAGGGTTCTTAGGTTTGAACTGTAAATAAAATCAATTTACAAGTACAGATTTGTAATTAGAAATGTCAAACCTTTGCATTTGTTTGAATATAAATTTTAAATATTAATGTAGTTTATCGACTTGTTTCCCTGATTAAATATTTCAATTCAACTATTTTTAATCTTCAGGGATGGGAGGGCTAAATATAAGACAAACAAGTTAATGCAGCCCCAATCAATTTTGGGCACCTAAAAAACCCCATAGAAGATCAACACCACTGTTTTCAAAAGAATGCTAGTCAAATCAATCAGCTACTAATGGTTTTCAAAACGTATGTTACAAACTGGTCTGGCTGTGTTCCCAGTTGACTGGAGAAGATTGCAAAAATTTTGAAGAGAGGAACAAATGTTCCGATGATGAAGGGCCAAATTTGTTGATGTTCAACTCCATTAAAATCTGCTGAGCAACTCTGATGTATCTGCGTGTATCTTGATCCTAGATGTTTATGAATTATGAAAAGAAAACTAGTGCTGTTATTGCAGTCAGATCTCAATGCAGATTAAGATGTTTATGTTCACCTGTTGATTGACAGCAAGCATACTCTTAGTAAAGAGAACAGACACCAAAGATTTAAAACTAATCATTATACTGCATATAACAACATATTTACCTTCGATGCCAAATTAGGCTTCATCCCAAGAAATGTGAAGACAGTGTTGCTTTCCTTGGCTTCAAAAAAGGAGTCATAATCCTAAAGATCAAGAACACGTACATTTCTCTTGATATTCTGTCCACTGGTTTTATATACAGAAGATCAGTATAAATTCACTTCTGATGAAATAAATAATAGTGGTGCTGCGTTAAATATACAAGGATAATTTTATAGTTCATTATATGACAATGTATTTTTTCCATACCAATAAGAAAACAAGAGTATAGTAAAACAAGAGAGACAACCAAATGGCAGAATAAACATCAGGACCCTTTCAACCTGTGGTTAGTACTGAGGCTTGTGAAAGATCAAAAGCACATATACTGGGTCGCCATCCTGCAGAAAAGCCTAGAGGTATGCACTTGGACACAACAGCAACTTGTGCTACACACGTGGATGTGGAGGGGGATAGTTGTCTGTGCCTTGGAACATCTGCACCTCCCTACTACTGAAGGCACAGAAGGAACAAAAGGTTACATATAATCAGACCAATGGTATAGACTACTATGATTGGCTGTGTCTGGTAACATAATCACATATATTCTCAGTTACAAACTAGATGGGAAAAGCTTTGGCAATTCACCAAAACACATTACATACTACCTATGATGTACTTTCTATCCATAAGATCAGGCCCACTCCCTAGAAACGAGTGCTGCAGGAAGAAAACTATCCAACTTCCTATGAGTTATTTGACTACTTCTGGTTAAAATGTCTCAACATTCAATAAAAGCTATACAAACTGTATAGCTGAGAACCAGACTTACAGCAGACTTCTAAAATGAAAACTGAAAATCATAAGGTGATTTACTACAGTCATTGTCAAAAGCAGGAAAAAATACAAATTTACTTGGTAGTGATCCAAATGTGTCAGAATTTAGCTTAGGGTTGCCAGGTCTTACCTGTCACTGGCAGGGGGCTCCTGGCTTGGTCCTGGGGTCTTCTGGTGTGCATGCAAAGTGCACACACAACAATGACATCACCCAGAAGTGACATCATTGCATTGGGCACGCTATAAAGGGGATGCTCTAGCATTTGGCTTAAAAACTCTATGGTGACCATAGAGTTTTTAGCCAAATGTTAGAGCATCCTGGCGCGATCGTACCAGACACGTCAGGTGCAGTGGGGCTTTTCGGGAGTGGTGCTGCCCCGCCAGCCAGTGGCGAATGGGGCTGCCAAAATTGGGGAAAACCCTGCCCCCATCAGGGGGTTACCAAACATACAAATTCCACTAGGAAAAACAGCATCAAAGATTTGGCAAAGATTGCCAAAATATATAAACTCTATTTAACAATTGCAATCTCTTATATCACTATTCTAAAGTTGGTGATGTCACAACATCAAAATAAGTGCATACTATAACTATAAATATAACTATAAACATAGATTACTATGTTTCCTCCTTCAAAGATAAGTATTGGTCCATATAGTCCATTCAACTTGATAGGAAGAATCCATGTTTGCAAAACATTTTCAAAAACAGCCTTTGCAAAAACGCCCATTCTAGATACTTAAAGGAGACGTTTCCATCAACTTCTTAAGTTTGCTGGCTACATAGTTGGAACCCAATTTCAACAATTTCTCTTGACAACAAGGTTCACAGTGTTGGCAACCCTAATTTAGCTCAACTACAACCATGTAGCTCAGTTCTCATATCATATCAAAAGATGAACTGCATAACATTTTAGATTCCGAATGATAGGTATATTTTAATCTCAGGTATGTTATGTGACCCTCCAGTAGCCATTTTGACAGTAACTCTGACCAGAACTCCAAAAACAGGAGGGTTGACAAACACCTGGTGAGCTACGGTCAACCTAATGGATCATAAGTAATACAGAGATGGTCTGTAACAGAGCTCAGTTGCCTTGTACTTTCTTCTGCACTGCTACAGCTGTAGCAAAGAAAATAAGCCAAAAGAGTATCTACCAGCATTAGAATTCTAAATAATTCAAAATGGCAGCAGAGCCAAACTGCACATTGTACATACACATACAAGAAAATATATGCCTATAGTGATCAATAGCTGTTAGCCATATATTGGCATTGCATATTTAATACCAACATTTTAATTTATTTAATTTGCATCTTCTAGTCCTACCTCATAGCCTTTTTCACTTATTTCAAAGGTGACAGAAATGCTGAATTGGATTTCAGGAAAGGCTGACAAATCTTAGCTTTGCAGAGCTGAAATGGGGGACTATGTAAAACACTAGTGACACACACTGTAGGCCTGAGCAGTTGGAGCCACATTCGTCATTGCTGGTGAACCACTTCACTAATGTAAACTGCTGTTTAGTATTACGAGACCTTTTAAAGGGGAGGATAATTGCTGACTGGCTAGCTACCAGCTGAAGGACACAGAATCCTGATGCCAGTAGAGCAAGTGCTTAGATTGTGATAAAGAAGGAAAACCATTCATATTCTTACCCACACTCACATGCACTGTTATCCCATCCTTCCTCCAAGTAGCTCATTACTTTCACAGTAACCATGTAATGTAGATAGGTAGAGACTGCAATTCCTAGAAGTAAGCCCCACTGAATATCATAAAACTTTCTTCTGAGAAGAATTACCCAGGCTTGCTCCCAGACTGTGCAACAGGCACAAAGTCACCCAATGAGCTTTATAGCTGAGTGGAAATTCCCCTTCCACCTCAACTACCACATAGTGGTGGGCCAACAGTTCCTACTACTGAACTGGTTCTGGAGCCTTAAGGCACACAGAGCTGTCCCAAAGGAAAAACAGCTTAATTCAAAGGCCATCCAGAACAAATCAGTTTGCAAAGCCTCAGCAAGGTTGTTAACCATAGGAGGTTTTGGAGGTCATTAATTCATAGGGTTGGAAGCAACATGACAGCACTTAAGACAGACACACCAACACACCAAAACAAAAACATCTTCACCTTTCGCCAGTAGGCCTGTAAAGAAGGTGTTAATTGCAATTCCTGTAGATCAGGCCACACTCAATAGCTGAATAGGATCTGCTGAGAATTTCACACATTAATAGATGTTGTCATCCACATGTGCTTAGCACCACAGTGAAAGTGCCCACACCAGACCTGTGACCTGTACTATTTTCAGCCACACTATTTATTTATTTAAAATATTTTCAGCCTACATTTTTGAAGTGGCCTATTTTAACACCAAAACTGAGAGATGTATTTCTCCCTTTCCCCAGAAAACGTATTAATTTGACTCCTTTTCCTGCCTTTGCTTCTACAAGAGTCGCTTCATCCCCAGGCATACTCTTGAAACTGGACTACAAGTTTTCCCTTTACAATCCTGCTCTCAGTCAGTATGAACTTGTATTTTTAACCATGCATAGCAAGCACGCATGTTAAGACACGCGCTTCCCAAAACTTCCCCCAGATATTTCATATATTTAGTTCAACAGTTCATAATTTTTGTTTTTCCAACTACATTTTATCTTGATTTAAGAGCCCCAGAAAGAGCAATCTTGCACTTGTGTCTTTTTGAGCAATAGTAGCATACAGCTTTAGAGGACAGCTGGACCAATCTGGGCCATCTGCCATCGCTAATCAATGCCTGGGGAATATAGCGTGCTTCAATAACTAAACAAGAAAAACCTGAAAACAAATCTAATCCTTTCAAGGCTGTATTTTATGTAAAAAATAAGAAATAATTCATCCAATACAGTAATCTCATCAAATACAGAATGTCACTTTTCAGGAAAACCAATAGAGAATTTCTAAGTCTATCAGATCTTAAGTTATTGACTGTATTTGAACTAACTATGTGAGCAAAATAACGGCCTGGATCCAGCTGTTTTGTACCCTTCCCCCTCCCTACTGCACTGCAGCCTCCCAACCTGCTTGGCTCTTAGTCCTATGAGTCTAGTGACCCCAGGAGTAAATGTTCCTGGGGTCAGAAGGGGCTGCCAGGGAGAGGGGAATGCAGGAAAGATCAGCAACAGGCAGTGTTTGCTCATGGTCACTGGATCCAACCCAATAACTTCACATAAATGATATGTATTTAGGAATTTAATTGGAAGAGCTAGGCAAATGGAAAACTGAACTTTGGTTAGCCTCAAAAAAGGAAGTGTGGTAGTAAATATACAACCGGGGAAAAGGAGAAGGATGCTGGCCAAAGGTATCAGACTGAAGTTCATACACACGCGCTAAAATACATGGACAGGAGCAAATTATTGGGGGGAGGGGCTGGATGAGCCTTGCTCCTCAGAGAAGCAATTGTTATCAATTGCCATGACTGAAAGGGCAAGTCAGTTCTTCAAGATTACAAATGAAAGGTCTTCCTCAGTCCTGCTTTCAAGGTCTTCCTCAGTCCTGCTTTCAAGAGTTGACATTTTAGTTGTGTTTAAAAAGCACACTTGGATTCTGTTTGGTGCTTATTTCTTTATTGCTTCCATCCTTATGCACTTAACAGATTCATTGTTCCAGGAAGCTAAAGTTTCAAGAGAGTGCCATTCATTGTTCATATACAAACAACTTAGGTTAAAACCACCATCCTGCAGTGGCCCTTTCAACCAAATAAGCGTTTCAGATCCAAATCTGCTATTGATATGTCTATATCCACACAAGAGGTACAATGTGAATAAATCATTGGTATAACAAGTGGTTGTTTGGAAAGGAGAAAGCATTTGAAGAAAACAAATGAACAGCTAGCTACTGTATCTGAAGAAGTGTGCATGCACACAGAAGCTTATACCCAGAATAAAACTTTTTCAGTTTTGCATGAACCAATATAACTACACATCTTTTTCCTACTTAGAACTGCAGTCTCCTTTGTGAACTTTAAAATCCCAGTTAAATTCTTACATCATTAGGAACTCACTAAAATGCAGCAGAAACTATTATGCAGCAGAAACTATTATGCAGAACACATGGGAGCCTGTTTAGGATTTTTTTAAGGGAAAGTACTGCAGTATGGCTAGATATTCACGCATAGTCTTGGTTCACTTACAAACAGACTGTGGATCTATCTGATTCTGTCATTTCTGGGCAGAAGTCTCCGATGAAATAAATTTTGTTCTTGAACCAGAAATGAGATTTTCAGATG